GGCCCAGGATGTTCTTGGCCAACACAGAGGACAAGGGAGAATTGGTCATTTGAGAACAATTAGAAATCACTCTGCATAAGCCATCATTATATTACAATTGCAATGTAAGAGTTTATGACAGTGAGTCCACTCAGAGAGAATATCAAAGACCAAATTGTAATCACAATGGAAAAGAAGAAAAAAAAAGAGCTGGACATGTGGAGCAGGGGGTCTGGAGAGCCACAGGGCAGTTAACTTTTCCAGGTTTCTGAAAATCATTAAAGCCAATAAGACGAGCAATGTGTTCAATTAAGAGAATCCTTGTCCTCACAAGCTGAAGGGCACTCGTAATTTGGCACTGGATGGTCAATAACTTAATTTAACACATCGCTTGCTTAATTGATCCTAATTTAGTGTTTCCAAGTCTGATAAAACTGGCCGATCAGGGGCTCTCGAGGAACAGAGCTCAGACAGACAAGACCACCCGATTGGCCTGAGCTCTGTACACGTCAGTTCTTACCAGAAGGTGAAGTTGGATTTGGACTTCAACAGCGTAGGCCACAGGCGAGACAGCTCCGGCTGCAGTTCCTGTGAAAGGACAACAGAGGGCGCTGTAACCCACCGGCCAGCTCCTGGCAAGTGCTGGCGTGGATCACGTCACACCTCGGTACTCTACGCCTGCTTGTCACCGCCAGCACCAGCAGGCAGAAGTGGGCGCACCGTTAGCTTGTGCTAGTGGATAAATGAGCACCAGAATCTCAGGGCCTGTTAAACTGGTATTTCAAGAATGAATACAGGCCATGCTCAACACTGCTGTAGCAGAGACGCGGGCGAAATCAGCACCTTGTTCCTGTCGGCGTGCTGAAGGGAAATACCCCAAACTAGGCATCACTCCAAGGCTCAACCTACAGCGATTACAGCAGGCTGCTCCCCGAAAGCACAGCATGCACAGCTTTTAGGTTTGACAGGGCTCTCTCGCACGGGCGAGAGAAGGAGCAGGTGAATTGGTGTCTTCATGGCCTGGCCACGGAAGAGAGGAGGCTCTTCAGTGCGAGAGGCGGCTCGTGCGACTTCAGTAACAGTGCCGTACGAGGTCGTGCATAAGTGAAACACACCCGTCTTGAATTATACTCCAAACCCTGAAGCTACAGGAGCCGAAGCAGAGGACCCCATGGCTTGAGGGGTCCTCCCTCTTGCTACTGCAGCTTCTGTCATGACTCAGCAACAGCCCGTAACGATGTCGGCATTTCTCACAGAACTCTGCGGCCTCACCTCCAGGTCAGAGGGGAAAATGGGCCAACAGCCACAGCACCTGCCTGTGGACATCGGCCTGGAGCGGAGAGAGAGAGGAACCCGTCACACAGCCAAAACCACACAGCGGCTCTTAGTTTTCTCACACAGCTGGTGTCTTCAGTATCCTACGGTCTGCTTCTCTTTTTATTTAACTTTAGCCACACATTCCTCCTTTACTTATCACCTGCTGAGCTGATGCACTTTATTCAGCCCGACTCAATGTGTTTGCGAAGATTTACATCTAGTGTAAAAACAGAGGAAACAAGAGAAGCCATCACAAGCAGGAAAAGAATGGAACTGAACGAGAGTAAGACCAGCGAGGCGGAGCAGAAAAGTGCTCCAGTGCACAAAATCCAAAGTGATTAAAGAGAAACTGAAACAGTATTGAAACTTGGCAGGTATGTGTTCCATGTTCGCAGTGAACAAGTGCAGCAGGAGAATGACATCACCAGATCCCAGCCCATTCCCAGGATTTCCAACAGCCCCAGGATGTTCCTCACCAGAGGCCGTGGATGGTCCAGGTCTTCACATACTCTGGGATCAAACACTCGATTTTCTTCAGGGTCTGAGTTCAAGGGGAGGGGGAGAGTTATTTACACAATCCTATGCTTTTCCCTTCTGCACATCCCTTGAAGATAAATGCCAGAGGAGCAGGGATGCACCATGTAAAGGATAAAAAGAAAAATCAGCGATGCTGCACTTTACAATGTGCAAATATCATCCCTCTGCGTGACCATCTGGCAAATGCATGAATCGCAAGGTCAGTATGCAGCAGATGCTGCTGTGTTTGTGCCCGCATTTTGTGCTCTGTGTTGTGTTGTGGCCAGACTGTCTCTTTGAATGTGGCAGGACTTTGTGCACAAAGGGGAGAATAATAAGCATTAACGTGAGATGCAATGGGTGGGACCAAAAGAAAACCTGAAAGAAGCTCACAACTTCATTTCATTACTAACACAAGGACAGGGCTGTATCGGTGCTGACCGGTCAGTCAGGGAACCTGGTGAACAGACTGTGAACTCTCTGCAGGTCAGTGTTGATATGACGTGTGAACGGAGCCAGGCTGCTCACCGTACAGAACGATCCTGGCCACAGCAAAGTGAACTTCATGCATTCCCACGTACAGAACCTGCAATCAGAAAGCAGCTAGCATTTCCTCTCCTGGTGCACTGCAATGCAGTTTGTTATCAAAAAAATTAAAAAGCTCAAGAACACAAGGATTAGGAGGGTTCAGAGAAGAGGCACCTCATCCTGTCACACTCAGGTGGTTTCTAGCAGCTCACTGATCTGAAGATTTCAGTTCTCTCCATTTGGGAGTAGCAGTCATACACCTGAGACACAATCCACACAGCGACACATTGACACACCTGAGACACAATCCGCACAGAGATGTACTGACATACCTGAGACACAATCCACACAGAGATGTACTGACAAACCTGAGACACAATCCACACAGAGACGCACTGACACACCTGAGACACAATCCACACAGAGATGCACTGACACACCTGAGACAATCCACACAGAGACACACTGACACACCTGAGAGACGCTGACACACCTGAGATACAAATCACACAGAAACACCCTGACACACCTGAGACACACAGGTACTGTACATTTTAGGAGTAAGAAGAGTGTCTCACGTGCTCTGGAGGGGCGAAGCACTGTCCCAGCTGGCGAGGGTGAGGACGAGGGCAGGGCTGAGCAGCAGGACCAGGTGGGTAACTGCAGTTGAACCCATCACTACCAAGGGTGAAGACAGACGAGGAGTGAGATAAACAGTGCTGGATATCAAAATGTTTTAAGAAAATAAATGGAATTTGTTATTGATTAGTTTAACAACAATCAAACCTTATCATATTACTGTTGAATCTGTACAATTTTAAAATAAATGTTTTAGTACAAACTAGTGGCAAACAACAGCGGAGATGGAGCATAGGAACACTTACATTATGGCTGTGGCTGTACACTGTGTTTTGCTGTATCTGCGCCTTTACAAAATAGCTTGTTCCAGACCCCCACAACCCTTTGTGTAAAGTAGTATCTCCTGCCCTGATTGGAGGATCTCATCCAGCTGTTCTTGAAAGAAACTAGGGTATCACTTTCAACAACATGGCTGTGCACTTTGTCCCACACTCCTACAACCCTTTGTGTAAAAACACTTTTCAGCTTTAACAACCACGTATTTTTTTTTTTAAATAGGAAACAGTTGAAGAGAGAAGCATTTGCAGATGACACAAGAATGAAAAATAACAATAAAGTCTAACAATTCTCCTGGCTGACAGCGGCTCTCATGGGACAGTAGGAGATTCAGAGTGGGTTCGGGACTCTGCTGCCTGAGCACCCGCACACACAAGTGCCCCGACAGAGGATCCCTTTCACAGCTCTCACACACACGGCACGCAGCCACGCCACGGCATCTTAGAGCTCGTTAGTGAAAGAGTTAGAAGGAGCAGAGAGATTGTTTTAAGTCTTTCCTTCGTTACTGCCAGGACACTGCTGATGCACGGGTGGTCATGAATATGTCGATGAATGAATGCACGAGCTCGCACAGTAGGTACATGAGTGAGAAAAGCTAGACTTACCGACAGCAGGAGGTCTCTGCTCTGTGCTCTCTTGTGGAGACCAGCTTGCCTGTGAGCGCACAAGCAAACACATGACCAAGTCAGTCCAGCGGCCCATTATCTCACTTCCCTTTTTTCAAGCAGCTGTTTTTTTTCAAGACAGGCTAGAGAAGCTCTCTCTCTCTTCTCAGCTCCTTCTCTTCCGACATGTAGAGACTTTATGAGGAATGACTTGGTTTCTACATGATGCCAATTCCCTTCCTGTCATTCATGTCAGATCTGTCAGGCTCTTGATTTTCACCTGCGCAGTCAGTCGTCTGCTTAGCACTGCTCCAGCACTGCTCCTACTGCCAAAGCCCTGCTGCAGGCCCTGAAGGAAGAGGAGAACCAGGACACTTGGACGGCTTTCTGTTTTTGAATATGGGGAACAAAAGGTTGAAAGAGACAGAAGCTGTGTCTCTGCACAGAAGCCAAGTCCAATACTAGCTGCTTGGGTGAACTGTATGAAGGAAGGAAGGGGAAAGAATTAAAAGGGGGGAGTTTTCCCCCTCTTGGAAGCAGAGCCTTAGACTCTGCAGTACGTGAGCTGGAGGAAACCTGTCTGACGGACCTGCGAGCTCTCAGTGTGTAGCAGAGTGACACACCGCTGTACAAGTGATAGACAGCTGTTCGTTTCCACCGAGCAGAAAAAGACAGCCAGGACGAGTTAAGAGAAGCTCTCTGATCAGACTCCCTCGTTTTCTTCCCACCCACACCTGCACAAAACCAGCGGGCTCGACCGACGCTCCCTCCCTCAAGCCCAGCCCTCCGGAGTGCCCAGGCCAGTTTGGTCTCTCCTGCTGTCCATACTTTGGCTCCCGTTCAGAGCTGCAGAAATGTGTGTGTCCTTGTAGGGCCTGCAGCTTAGAAGCAGACAGGAGAACCGCACAGACCGCCACCCAGCATGAGACACGTCCTGGTAAAAACCCCTTTTCACTTTCTAAACTCTTTCTGCGGTTTGTTCCGAGGGGGGGAATGAGCCCAGTAAAAGCTGAGAAGCCTGGGAGCTAACGTCCTGTTTCAGCCTTTGCACGTTGAAAGTGGAGAGCAAGAAATGTAAGAGCAAGAACTAAAGTAGGAAGGTCAGGCATTTAGGCAGGCCTGCTTGTTGTTTCTTTCCTGTAAAACAAGAGGGACTAAACATGCAGCTGGGCTCGTAATGAGATTAGGACAGTTCAATTTCAAGAGTCTTCTGTGTTTGTCCTCTCTGAACGTGGGACCATAAGGACATGGTTGTGCTTCACTGGCTCGGTTCAGGAATTTAGATCAACAAAGCAACCATGAACGGGCAGGCAGACCAACAAGCAGGCAGGCAGATTGAAAAGATAAAGGAACCGTTTGTTGTCAAAACATTGAAAGTCAGCCCTAAGTTATGGTCTATGTCACGGGTCACTGAGTGTTGGACACTGACATTCCAGAGCTTTAAAAGGACTTAGAATTGGAAAATTCTGATTTTGATGGAATCCCAGGACTGATGTGCGCTTTCACTATTGAAAATAAAAAAAAATTGCCCTGTTGTAAAATGTAATAGGCTCCAGAAAGGGGATAGTGCAACATGTGACTCCACTGCCAGAGCAGTCATGCTTCTTTGTTTCCACATTTAGAGTACAGAGCTGGGGGGCGGACCTCCCCCTGTCCCACCTCCTCTGCTCACTGCGATTGGCTTGTTCTTAAGTTCCACTGCATGTGATTGGCTCAAAGGCACAGCAAGTTTGGTTGTGCTTTTTTAAACTTTAGGTCTGACCTTGATACAAGACAGACCTCTGAGTTATTTAAAATGACAGTGTCCTGATTAATCAAGACCCCAATGTTTTTTTAGTTTACTGGGGTCCAATAAATCTTAAAAACGTGGTTATAGGTTTGACTGCAAAGTATAGATCTTAACCTTTCGTTCAGACTCACTGAAGCCAATCAGTAGTAAAACACTTGATGAAATAGCTGGAAAGTTTGTTTTGATTATTTTGTGCATTAGTAATCGATGTTTGGGTTTTACAAGGTGGCAAAGTTGCGCTGACATACTCATTCACATACCCATCCATATTCAAACCACTGCTTCCGTACAAAATTCTAAACGTCTAAACACGTGCATTCTGGGCCAGGCAGCGGTAATCTGAGCAGTGTTTTAACGTGAGGAGCCACCACTCTGCTGAGCAATTCGGTGCATCAGGTGTGGCAACCAGAGGACCTCTGCGCTCAAACTCACAAAGCAGATAAAGGAAACCAGCTAACAGCAGAGAGGAGTTAAGGACATACTGGTGCACTGTCAAGCTGCTGAGAGAACCTGTCAGTACTGCTGGGCTCACCAATCTCTTCCACCCCTGGGTGCATCTACACTCCATGAAGGGGAACCGAAACGTGCCCAGAGCCATTACTTCCCCTTTTCACCATTCGGTGAAAGTGTACCAGGTATAAATAACTTGCATCAGCCCCTTTTAACAGGGTTGTGGGCATGAACAGAAGTGAAACACCTCACCAGTTCGAAACCCTACTGTAATAAGAGGAACCACTGAAATTTCCCAGAGTGGCTGAGGGGCTTCCACCTGCTGGGTTACCTTGACAACCACAGGAGGAA